GTTCGATCCCCGCCTGCCCCGGAGGTGACCCACAGGGCGCGGCAGACCTCTCCTGACCCGCCCGCTGCCCCCCTCAGCAGTGTGCTTTGATCATCTGCCTGTTCTGCTCCCCACTCTGTCTCTGGTGAAGCCTCTCGCCGCCCCTGAGCCTCTGGCCTGTACCCCAGTTCTGTATGCACAAATAAATAAATCTTAAAAAATAATAATAATAAATTTAGTGCTCAATAAAGCTGTTGACTTAGATGGTAGGAGGTGGGGTAGCCACGGAACACGTTACCGACGTGACCATTCATTACTGGGGAAGAGGAAGTCCGGCCCTTCTGTCAGTCTGTAGCTTGAGGCGCAGCGGTGAGGTTATGCGGTGCCAGGAGAGCCCGAGGCCTGCAGCGTGAGCTGTGTGAGGAGGGGGACAGCGGGCCTGGGCCCGCGTGGCGGGGTGCAGGCCCCAGGAAGCTGGCAGCCGGCCGCACCTGCCAGCGCCTTCCCGGACCTGGGTCTCCACCCGGGGGCCGCCCCGGCCCGCACAGCGCTTCCTGGCGCCGGTCAGCACGGCCAGCGCGGCGCCCGGGCAGCTCCCACGCCAGCAGTTCTCCACGGAAACTGACCAACTGAAATGAGACGGGAGCGAGGTGGGTCCCCTCGGGGTGCAGGAGCCCCGGAGGCACCGGCCGCGGCCAGGGCTGCTGGACACGCCGCCGCAGCCTGGCGGGGCTCCGGCCCCCACACTTCCCGCAGCTGGAGCGATTTATCATTTAAAGTCTATGAAGTATTGTTACAGCTTCCCGCTGCTGCTACCTCCTCTCCACTCCGCGGGCCCCGTCCCGCTCACGCCTGGGGCTCTCGTCCTGCTGCCTGGAGGCTAACACTTGCCATTCGTCTTTAGTGCTCCCTCCAGGCGCCTAGTGACCAGCCGGAAACTTAAAAGCGCTTCACCTTTGTCTGGGGCGCGACTTCCATCACGGCTCCGGAGGTCCGGACGCCCGGACGCCCCGACTCCCGGAC